ATATTCATTTATCGTCAACTTCCTTGATTCACATTTGCAAACTCTTGCTTACTACCATCGATAAATGCCGGAGGGATAAACTTTTCCTTAAACAAGTCCTTAAACAATTCTCAATCGACTGTTCCTCCGGTGACAACAAATCATACTCCTGTTTCCACCAGGATACAAATTCATAACCAAAACTAGGTAGTCGTCTCGACCCCTTGTCAGAAGGAAATTTCCTTTGACTTGCATAATCTGAAACATCTTTTCCAAATGGTTAAACCGTTACTTCGCTCCCTCAGGTTCATCATTTCATAAGGTGATTCAAATTCGACTCATAACCCGTCTTAAAATGTCCATTTTGATAATATATTGAATCACCATAATAATAGTTTCCTCTAAACCGTTAAATCAGGAAGACTAAAGGCTGGTTTGGTATTGCTGTGCTTTGAAAAAAAGCTGCTGTGAGAATAAGCGGTTGTGCTGTGAGAATAAGCGGCTGTGAAATAAAGCCAGTAGAGTGTTTGGTAAATTTTTTTGTGAAAGTGCTTTTGGAAAAAAAAAGCAGGATGATAGTGTGTCTTTTAATTAAAGGAGCACTGTAGCTCCGTGTGCTTTGAAAAAACTGGCTTTTTTTCAAAGCAGCAAATAGCAGCTTTAGCTTTTCCTTTGATTTTCAGCTTATTCTCACAGCAACTTCCAAAATAAGCCCTTTTTTTTCAGTTTACCAAACACAAAAATGACCCTCAGCTTTTTTTCACAGTGGCTTTTTTTAAAATCACCTCAATCCCAAACGGGGCCTAAGTTCCTCTAACTAAGTGGCTTGCTACGAGGCGGTGTAGTTCTGACAGAATTCACTAGAAACTTCTCAAGATGTCCAAGATTGCAACCATGCTCTGATACCAACTGACACACCCCATCCCGAAGGAGGGCATGCTGGCCGTCACGTGAGAGTGACGTAACCATTTGCACAGTACGGAAGCTTTAATTATACAATTTATAAGTTGATACACCCGAAGGTGAGTCCTAATTTTGTCCAATCTGTCAGAACACCGTCGAATTCCTCGTAGTCACCACACCTTTGTGATTCCTGAACCTGGAGGGGCGCAAAACCAAAATTGAGTGGGTCAGTAAAACAATTCTTTTCCAAAATCCAAACATTTCTCAAAACGTTGTAACCCCTCTCCGTAAAACTTACTTGTATACTTTCCCAGAAATGTAAAATATAAATATACATATATATTCTCAAAACTTCATTTTTACTATCTCAACATTTTTCAGTACAAATATGCCATGCCATGTCAGAATTCAACAGTTAAGTATGAATGCATCAACAATAATTATATCAGGTGCAAGAAGTAATCAACCGGAGGCCCTCTAATAGCCCTGTATGGTTGAACCTAGAGCTCAAAATCTATCACTCTCACTCTGCCGGGAGTCACCTCTGTGACCTGTCCGGCCTTCTGCACACAAGTTACGCTCTAGTGCTTTCTCATCAATCATATGTGCACATAATCTAAGGTCACCCACCAGTCGAAATCTCACTAACACTCTACGACTGGCCCGTCGCACCCACTCCGCGTGGATGGACTGTGCGACCAGCATCTACTTGGATCCAAGGCGAGCGTGCGATGCGGTGAATACTATAAGCACTAAACCATGGTGCAGGATTTGAGCTCAATATATATCAACAACATCATCATAACAGTAATTAAATACTCACCTGATACTCACATGTGCGTCCGCCGCACCATTCATTCATATGCATCATATATCAATTCATATCATTTCATGCATGGCAATTCGATTCACATTTCTATATACTTTTCATATATACTTTTATGCATGGCATCTCAATTCACATTTCAATATACTTTTCATTTAATTTTGATTTATGGGGAAACGTCAAGTATATATATACGGAAAACAAAACTGCCCACTCACCTGGAGTTCGCCCTACAACTCCCTAGCACAATACGCCAAGGCGTCATGACGATCGGCGCCTAAAACAATAATCAATTCCAACCTCAGAATTTATAGTGATAGAATATATAACTTATATAAAATACGTCACTACGTAGTTCGATCCGGAAGATCCACCACTCAGATTTTAAATCCATAACTTCCAGAGGTCCACAATATATCTCTAGGATAACCTCCTAAAATTTCATTACCATCCAACGGTCGGATCTCCGTCAATTTCCAAAACTAAGTGACGGTTAACATTTTATTTTATGAACTTACAATTCCAATTCCGGAAGATCCGTAACTCGGATTCCCAATCCGTAAGTTCCAATAATCCTCAAATATTACGTATTACAACGTATCAAAGTTTGGTAACGATCCAACGGTCGGATCATCAATTCACATTTTCACCTAATGCGAAAACTATAAAACGTTATTCGAACACCTAACCAACAATCCTTAATAACTTTCTCATACGGTGCTCAATTTGGGTATATGAATATACCACAGTGATCTACTCGACGTCACCGACGTCGACATATTTTTAAAATAATTGTTTACTGTAGCACGCGCCCCCACGCGCCAAGGAAGGCACGGGTCCACGCGCCCCCACGCGCACCTTCTTCTTCCTTGGGTCGCCGGACTGGTTTTTCCGGCGGCCGTTTTTCAAATTGCCATAACTTTGTCATTTCTCAACGAAATCAAGTGATTCAAAAACTAAAGTTTTAGCCCTTGAATATACAAAGAGAATTGTACCTTGCACAACACCTAGTTCGCCGTGGTTTGGCCGGAAACTGCCTCGAAAGCCTCGGAGGTCGCCGGAAACTGGGTATTTTTCAAATGAGTATAACTTCTTCAATACTCAACGAAATTGAGTGAAACAAAAAGGAAAGTTGTAGTACTTGACGAGACAAAGAGATTGATACCTACCTCGACTCCTAACTCGCCGGGTATTCGCCGGAAAAAGCCTCGAAAGCTCCGGCCAAACTTTGAACTTGTCGATCTCCGTGTTCTTACGTCCAAAAACTTCCAACGAAGCACTCCGAGCTTCCTTGGGACCTCACTAAGCTCGCTGTGATCTTGTTTTAGCCTAAATCGTAACCATTTAAAAGATCATGAACAGTGCTCTTCACGGGAACTTTGAAACTAGGGTTTTCCGAAGCAAAACTTACCTGAAATGGATACCATCGTGATCGTGAAGTCTTCAGGGTTCCAATGGTGGTCTTATATTCATCGTTGGTGGAAGTTTAAGGTTGTTTTGTGGTTGGTTTGTTCGAACGGAGAAGAAGAGTGACAGAGAGAGTGAGAGTCGTGAGGGAAGAGAGAGAGAGACAGCATGCAGAAAATAGAGAGATGATTGAGGGGTGTGGGGATCCCACGTGTTCCTTTTCCAATCCCCAACTCCAAACCACAAAATTTTAACCTAAAAATCTAAGTTCCATCCTTAATAAATTCCATTTTATTTTCAAAACTTAGGAACCTAGATAATTATCAACTTGAGCTTCACATACTTAGTATTTCTTAAGGGCAAATTCGTCCATTCACAGCCACGAATGTAATATTTTGGAACGGGCTGTGACAATGCAGATTTGAAGGGAGGGATTAATGAAAAAAAATGTATTAATGTTTAAATTCATTGTATATTAATATATCATAACAAATTGTATGTTAATGCTTCTGGCAAAAAATAAATAAACATTAATGTTATACTTTCCTTTAAATAAATAAATAAATAACAATTTTAACTTAATCTTGTCATTTTCTTACCAAATGGAAACTGAAAGAGAACTATGGAGTAATTTACATAAAAACATAGGTAAATTATTTGGACATATGTGTTAGTAATAAAATATTCCCAGTATATGTAATAATACATGTAAAATAATTTATCTACAAAATAAAAAAAATGTTATTTGATTCAATATTAATTTATCTACATTTGATATAATAAAGTATAATTGCGCATATATATTACTCAAATGTGCCCAATATATGTAATAATGCATGTAAAATTATTTACCTACAAAATAAAGGTATGTAAGTTGATTAAAAAAATATATATATCTACTACCTTTTTTTTATGAATTTTAATTTACCTTTTTTTTTTGTACAAATGTAATGTACCTACAATATATAATTCCTACTAAAACTAATATATATTTGCACACACATATATATATATATATATATATATATATATATATATATATATATTAGTACTAAAATGTGCCCGGTATATGTAACAATGCTTTAAAAAAATTATCTACAAAATAAAGGAATGTAATTTGATTGAAAATATAATATATGTACTACTTTTTGTTTATAAATTTCAATTTTTCTTTAAAAAAAAACATATTGTACCTACAATATAATTTACCTATTATTTAATTCTTATAAAAAATTAATTTACTTATACTTTACATATAAATATAGATAAAATATTTTTGACACGCATATATAATAACAAATCAAAATGGCTAATGTATGTAATAATCTGTGTAAAATAATTTACCTACAAAATAAAAGAATGTTAATTGATTCTTGTTTTTTTTTATTTATCAAACAATATTATTTGATGCAAAATAACTGATTATACAAAGGATCCTTTTTTTTATACAAAAAATATGCCTATAATTGTTTATGAATATGGGTAAATTAATATATATATATATATATATATATATATATGTTAATAATATTTATGAAACAAAAAAGGTAAAATTTTCATATGGGGTTAATTGCTAATCATAATTAGGGTGAGTAATAATATTTATTAACATAATTAGGGTTTTGTGGCATAATTTGTAAATATGTTGTAATAATTGGTTATATATTTATCTACATGGTAGTCTATTTGAAATTTGGGTTTTATTTGAATGTTTAATATTAATTGGGTTTTTGTTTGAAAAATAGGAATTTCAAGGACCTTTCTCTAAAGAACCCATTATTAATTCATTAATCACCAATTAAACTTTGATGCCTTGTATTTAATCAACTAATGCATAATTAATACTAGGACCACAATTTTTTTCTCTTTTATGGTTCGATTGCAGACTGAATATGGGAGCAAGATTAAGGCAGTAATGGTGTTCTTCTTCTCAACCACAACACCGTTTGGGATTGCACTAGGAATCGCTCTGTCGAATGTATACAGCGACCACAGTCCAACAGCTCTAATTGTTGTAGGGCTGCTAGATGCTGCATCTGCAGGGCTACTAAACTACATGGCACTGGTTGATCTCCTAGCAGCTGATTTCATGGGTCGTAAACTGCAGGCAAATGTGAAGCTCCAAACATGGTCTTGCATTGCAGTTCTATTAGGTATAGGAGGGATGTCATTAATGGCCAAATGGGCATAAAAATTTAGCCGTAGCAGTTCAACAATAATGTCAGATGGATTAAGAAGCCAGATAGGATTGTGCTGCTTTTTGTAGTGACTGTTTGGAATGTAGAGTAGGGACAAACATTTTGAGATAACTTTATTCAATTTTTTTTTTTTTTACTGTGGCAACAAGTTTGAAACCTTGGTATTTCTATTAAAATTATAAATTGACGGTTAATCATTTTGATATTATTCATCCATGCAATCAATTAGTGTGAGGTTTTATGTGGAAAAGGTCTCGATCGAATTAGAGGTATTATCCAACATTGTCCAACCAATTTCTTTTTAGGTCTTCTTTCACAACATTAGTCTCTATCGTAACATGATAGCAATGAAGACAGTAAAGAAACCAAGAATTCATAATTTCAGTAAATGAACACTAACAAATCAAAGAACCAACCAACCACACAACAACAACAACAATCAAGCGCATTTTCTCATTAGATGGGATCAGCTGAAAAGTACTAACCAAGCCCCAAGAAAAATAAAAAATAAAACAACCAACAAAACACAATAGACGAAATTAACACATAAAAACATGAACAAGGAACGACTAACGAACAAGAACAATGAACAAACAGAAGTTGAAGCCTAACAAAATATGCAAGCAGAAGCCAAATGAAAACAAAAACGAACCCACAATGAAATTAAAATTTTTTTACGGAGTATTAGAGAAATCATACAAAAGGAGAAGTGGTAGAGATGAAGAGGCGACAAATAAATCGATACTAAACAAGAGAGGATTGAACTCAGAGAGATCAACCCACTCTAATATCAGGTTAGCAAATCAAGGACGAGAAAAAGAAGAATAAATTGCAAACTCTGAATCTTATTCTACAGACAAAATTAAAGGAGAACACTACAAAATCTCCAAGATGGCTTAATCTGAGGAAAACTACATGTTGTTGGAGTTAGTTCCTATAAAATTACAAGAGAAAACTACATGTTGTTGGACTTAGTTCCTATAAAATTACAAGAGTGTACATAAAGGCTAATAAAACAAATAGGAAATCAATCATAAACCCTAACAACAAACGGAAAAACAATCATAATCCGTATTCTATTAAAAAAAAGAGAAATTTTATTTAAACTCATTTAACCTATTTCTACACCTAATTTACTCTTTGCACCCATTTGATTTTTAACTAAACTATTAATATCTCTTTAAACCCAAATTTGATACCTAATATACCCCCATAAACCCAATTCAATATGTGAATTTATTTTTACACCCATTTGATTTTTAGAAGCTAAATTTGATGTGTTTAGACCTAAGTTCTTTGCATGGTTTTCCACAACTCAAAAGCTAATAATTCAATTGTTACTTGCAGAATATGCATGCATGCTAAAAAATCACTGCGAAAAGCGATGTGTATAGTTATGGGGTTGTTATTTTGGAGATCATAACTGGGAAAAGGCCAGTGAACCCATCATTCATAGACAACCCCAAGATCAGCACGCATGCCATATCATCCTTGTTGATGTCTCCATCCATTCTAGAGTCAACAGCTTCAAGGATCCTTCCTTTGCTATAAAGATCCCACAGCCAATACACTATGTTGTTGTTATAGTTGTTCTGTTCGTTTTGATTACCGGGCCTTCGTCCACAGACAACTTCTAGCATAAGAACACCAAATGCATAAACATCCGTCTCAACAGTAGCCCCTCCAGTAAGAAATGTCTCCGGAGCCATGTAGCCTAGCGTTCCTACTATCTCATCTTCTAAACTCTAAAAAATTGAAATCAAATGAACAAAAAATTCATAAATTGAGTCATACCTTGGTTGGAGGATTCAAAACTTCAAAATCACCATCCATCAATTGAAAAACTTATTTTCTATGAGAGCTATTAGGGTTTTAGCCGGAATGAACGTAGGATAAACAAAGAATGATTGTAGGGTTTAATTATAGTGTTTGGGTTTATTGATAAATTTGAGTTTTATTATTAATTTCATTTTATACTTAATAGTAATTATGCAATAGGGTAAAATAGACAATTAACATATAAAATTTTAAATTGGGTGTAAAAAGAGGTTGAATGAGTTTAAATAAAATTCTAATGTGTACTAGAATACCCTAACATGATTAGGGGTGCAACTTGGGTTGGGCCAACCCGAACCAGCCCATGTCCAACCCGACTTTAAACTCGAACAAGGGGTTTTTTTTTAGTTATAACTCGTCCGAACCCAACCCCATTTCAACCCGTTCATTGATTGGGTTGATCATTTGCCCAACCCAATCCAACCCGATTAACCAAACCCGATTGGGTTAAGCTGTGGAACATGTTTCTCAATGATCTTTGCACCTTTGCACCTTCATGAAAATCTACTGATATGAAAATCTACCAAGGTATGACTCAATTCATAGAAAATAAGTTGTTCTTGTTGAGAGCTGTCCCACATCGGTGAGGGACAAGGTTTGCTATGTGCTTATGATCTTGGGCTACTCCCCATATTGCCAATTGGTTTTATGGTGGAACCCCAATTTCATCATGGTATTAGAGCAAGGTTGTCCACGTGTGAAGCCCAACGGCCACACGCGCTCCACATCACCCAGTTGTTGTCCACGTGTAGGCTTGAAAATCAGCCACACGTGCGGGGGCGTGTTGAGAGCTGTCCCACATCGGTGAGGGACAAGGTTTGCTATGTGCTTATGATCTTGGGCTACTCCCCATATTGCCAATTGGTTTTATGGTGGAACCCCAATTTCATCAATTCTACATGATGTGATGTGAAAAGCAGAGTAAACTTAAGATGTGGATATATACATGCATGTACGGGTGATTTCAGAAAAATAGGATTTAAAATTCGAAGCTAATGCCCGATTAAAACTTGAAAAAGTTAGGCAATCCGAATCTAACCCAAGTAAACCTGAACCCAATCCCGAATTGTAAAAGTTGGGTTAGAATTAGGTTGACCTTCCAACCCGCCCAAGTTGCACCCCTAAACATGATAGATTCCTAACTTGCTAACTTTTCCATCAATAATCACTCAAGGCCATTGTCAAGTCAAGTCAACCAATTAGATTCTCAATATTGAGTGCGAAATGCAAGAGAGCGATTGGCCTAGCCCCGATTTTTCATCGTATGAAAAACAAGCTGACTTCCCCCCTCTATTCAGATAATGGCTCTTGGCAAAATATACCGACTCTTCATTTTCACACGATAAAATATAAGAGCCAGGCAAGTCGCTCTGAAAACGCACAGGCAAAGAAGATCAAAGTTTGTGTTTGTGGATTGGGACGCAAATCGGGTCTCACCATAAATTGGCCTTACGAAAATTTTCTTTGCGTGACCATATAAATACAAGAAAAGCAATATTCACGACCACATTTGATGGACTAATGAGCCGATTAAGAGTCAACGAAATCTGTCTTGTCATCATGATTCACGACTAAGCATGCATGAAGTTGAAAGTTGAGTATGATACAGGCTTAGCCAGCTATGATTACAAAACATGATGTTGATTCTTTTCATGTAAGTTCAAGCAACATCTATTTACAGGCTTGAAGTTCAAAGCTTAGCCTGTGTCACATTAAATCACGAGATTAAGATGTATAGGGTGGGGTTGGAGTTTTCATAATTTATAAACTGCTAATGGCTATCAGAGCTTTAGGTTTATCTTTTTTTCTACGATCCGTCAAGAACTTCAAATCTAATTTAAAAATCAAATTAGTATGACAAAAAAAAAAAATGATGAAAACTCTAATTAGTTAATTAATATTCAACTTAGATGGCGCGAGATCATATTCAATACCAACATTGATGGAGCACTGTCTCTGCACTCTTCTTGGAGGATTGTAAAAAAAAAAAATATTTCGTGCTGTAAAGTGTAAACTGACCAACATTTTTTTTTTATTCTAAAAGTCATCTTAATCAAGCCCTTATGTCCAAAAAGTCCTTTATTCAATTTATATATAATGTTATGAAACATAATTTTTAATGTATTGCAATTTTTAAATGTGGACATATCACGTCAATACTGTTGATATTATTAACTTACAAGTATCATTTTTGTACGTGATTGTGAATTGAATAGTTAATGAATTTGAATTACATAAAAGAATAAAGAATGATTAATACATGATCCATATGTAGTCGATATTTTGTTTGCAACTGTAGTTAACTACAACGTAAAATGATGGATGAAACATGTGTGCTGGTGCCATCATTGATCTTAACTCATAACAAAACCAACCATGTATAACTTTTTTTCCACCAAACAAGATGCAAGATAATTCTATATACTAAAGTCTTAGCCAATACAAATTAAGATTATTGTCTTTCAATAAAGTAAAACATACGACACAAGGACATATATAGAAACCTTGTTGCAAAACACACATCCCCTTAACCAACATAGATATTATGACATAATAGCAACTATGTATAACTTTTTCTCCACCAAACAAGATGCAAGATACTTCCATATACTAAAGTCTTAGGCAATACAAATTAAGATTATTGTCTTTCAATAAAATAAAACATACGACACAAAGACATATATAGAAACCTTGTTTCAAAACACACATCCCCTTAACCAACATAGATCTTATGACATAATATCAACTCCAGCATATAATTCGAGTGCATCCTCACGAACATTGGACGTGAAGTATGTAAAGTATTCGGCAAAGTTGAATGGCTTGTACAACAAAGGATGCTCCTTGTCTATAAATTCCTGTGGCACTTCAATCACCACCTCCTCTTTTGGCACAGAAAATAGGGAATAAGAGTACCTCTCTTTGTCCCCACTCATCATAACCCTGTGCATCACTGCATGAAGCCTCCCATTGCTCCAGGCCTTAAGTGCATCACCAACAAAGACCACAACAGCTCCCTCTGGGACCATCACTTCAACCCATTTGCCTTGTTTGGTCAGAATCTCTAGGCCTTGCACATCGTTTTGGCACAGAATGGTTAGGGTATTTTTGTCAGTATGAGGCACAAGGCCCAGGGCAGCTGATGGGGACGCCGACGGTGATGCTGTTGATGAGCCAACATTAATATTGATGTTGCTTGGAGTTGGAGGAGGAGGAGGAGGAGCTTTGTACTTCATGAAACGAAAAGCACTGGTGGTGTTTTGGACATGAGTGTCATAGTGGTTCCCCAAACCAAAGCTCTCTAAGATCATCCAAAGGATGGTGATATTCAAGTCCATCATCTTGGAGCACATGGATTTCATTGCCTCACTACATCATTACAACACAAAATACATATATATATATAGTCATTGATAAAACAACATATATCATCTTCTCATTCAGCGAATTTATTAGTGCAAAGGCGACCTAAGAAATTATAATCAAGAGGCGTAGTAGTCAACTGAAATATCAGATACCCATTACTTACTATCATCAACATACGACAAATGTAGCATGAATTCGAACATGAGTGTAGAGAGGAAATAAACAACTTTAGCCAATTTGGTTAAATCCACTTTTCAAAAGATTTAATTTTTACTCTCACTCAAATTCGCTTAACTTTCATAATTTGAATTGTTTCATAGTTAGAAGAGAAATGCTAGGGACTCTCTTAAAAGTAGAACTTTCTATAAAAATTTTACTACGTTATAATTTAATATCAATTTCCGTGCAACATTATACAAAATTTGCAAAAAAATATAAAACAATGAAGAGTCTATAAATAATCTCAGAGTATAAATTTACATATTGCAAAAACCGTGATCTTGTTTTTAAAAAAACTGATGATCTTTCCCTCTTTCCCTGTGCTGGAGTTCTACAAGGACATGTGGCACCATGATAGCCAGGACGATATAACAATCATATAAAGCTGACACTCCTTTAATTCAATCTGTTTTGAAGGGATAAGCCTTATTAAATGAGACATTGGCTGGTAGCGAGGTTGTTGGGTAGCAGCCATTGTCATGTCAAATTTTGGAGTTTTATGTCGTCAAATTTAAACTGACATTGCTTCGTTTGAATATGAGATAACTTGTTAAGGAAAGATTCTCAATCATATGTACCAGTAAACCCCTAAGCTAGCACAACTATTTTCTAATTTATCCAAGACAGGTAGTGATTATTCTTCTTTTTAGTTGCAATAGTTTAACTTATAATTAATTAATTATCTCCTAACTATTCAAATCTTTCAAGCTATGCATGCACGATCTATGACCTTCATCAGATTCAACTCTTGGGAATCGAAAGTATCTATAACATGAGAGAAAGTTTAGAGATGATAGAAAATGGGACTAAAACTTATTTTCGATCTTAAGTTTGTCATTTTGTTCTCTTCCGACGAGTGCTTTAAAATCAATAGAACGCTGATTTTTAAGTGCAAAACGCAAATTGAGAGTGAGATTAGCAGATGTCCTGGAAAACAAAATGAAAACTCGACCTTGTGGGTTTAAATTTTTTTTTAGGGTGCATATATATCTTGATGAGAGTTATGCATGCATATGCACACAGAAAAAGTCTAATATTGCAAGCTGTGATCAAAGTTAAAGCAACATGTTTATATATAATTTCAAAGTTTAACTAGAAAGACAAGAAAATCTCACCAAAATGCAGGGTTTCCTTGAGGCCACATGAGGTTGGTGAAGGCCTGAGCTGCGTCGAGGCGGCAAGCGTCATCGATGCCGAAGCTTTCGTTCAAGGGAATGACCGGGCTCCTGCCTTCGTAGCTCTGATAAGGCTTGAAAATCTTGTGCTTATGCTTGGTCTCTTCAGGCAGATCAAACAAAGCTTTCATGGCCGTCACCATTTCTTCACGCAACTTCATGGGGATCTCATCCCTCACTAGCAAAAGAAAGCAACCATAATCCTCACATGCCTCTCTCACTTTGTTACTCATAGCTTTCCACTCCTCGCTCCCTTGCTTAAACACTAGACCCTCTGAAAAATCAAGAATTGGGAGTACTTGATCATCCATCTCCATCTCTCTCACACACTCTCTCTCTCTCTCTCTCTGTCTCCCACTCTCCGACTCCTCTCATAGTTTTTTAAGAGAAAGGCATCACTCAATTTATAGGAAGCTGGTTCCATGTAATGTAACTCTCCATCCCCCCACCAAAAAAGTCCAAAAATTAAATGTGTCTCCTCTTTTAGCTGGTTATTTGCGCAGCATTCCACTTTCTATCTTATTTTTTCTTTGGCTTGGATATAGATCTTATGTCACAGTGGCATGTCATCACTTTTGTTGTACACGCATTTTAGTAGGAAGAGTAACGTTTGAGGGATAATAAAAAATAAAAATAAAAAGGTCCCCGCGGCTAAAGTATAGCAAAGAGACAAAAACCCTAGCCGCCGACTCTTGCCTTTGGTGTTGAGGTCGGTGGCAATCCTTCTTGATCTTTTTTTTCTTCTTCTTTGTTTCTTATTGTAGTCCTCTCTTGCACGATCGAGGAGATCCTTCATTTCATGGTTGTGGTCTCTCTCTCGCTTTGTCGAGGAGAGACTTTGTGAGGTCAAGTTTGATCAATCTCGGATTCTAGAGGGGTGATTGTTGTTCAAATATGAGGTGGTGGTGCTTGTGGTTTGTGCGCTCGGTAACTAACCATGAGAAGGAAACTCGATGTTTGTTGGAGGGGACTCATAGTAGGGCTTCTTTGCCAACGATTGCAAAATCATTAGAGGTTGATGCAGACTTTTCTTTGTGGAGCCTTTACGATAGTTCTCAGGCTTGCAATGTTTTAGTCCTCATGATTAGGGTTTAGGGTTTAGGACTAAGGGTTCTCCATGATTGAAGAATCGTATTATATTTTAGGGTAAAAGACTGTTTACTACCCTCATGTTTCATGGTTTTCAACATTTAGTACATCAAGTTTTTTTCGTCTCTGAGTTATACCTAAAGTGTAAATTTTGGGACAGTCTCATACATCCGTTAGTCAAATTATTAAGTCTCCCATTAACTATGACGTGGCACCCATGTGGACAATGACTGGACACCACGTGGAAATTAAAAAAATTATAAAATAAAAAAATTATATATATATATATATATATATATATATTAAAAATAAAATAAATAAAATAAAATAACCCTTCATCTTCCCTAGATTCGGAGGAAGAAGAAGAAGAAGAAGAAGGAAGAAAGGAAGGAAGAAGGAGAAGAAAAAAAAAACCGAATCTGCAACCCAGATTCAGAGGAAGAAGAAGAAAAAGAAGAAGAAGAAGAGGAAGGAAGAAAAAGGAAGGAGAAGGAAGAAGGAGGAAGAAGGAAAAAAAAAACTTCATCTTCCTCAGATTCGGAGGAGGAAGAAGAAGAAGAAGAAGAAAAGAAAAAAAATTAAAAATAAAAACTTCATCTTCCCCAGATTTGGAAGAAGGAGAAGAAGAAGAAGAAAGATAAGGAAGAATAAGGAAGAAGGAGAAGAAGGGGAAGGAAGAAGGTGAAGAAAATAAAAAAAGTTGCAGAAGAAGAAGAAGAAGAAGGAAGAAGAACAAAAAAAAAAAAAAACCGAATCTGCAACCCAGATTCGGAGGAAGAAGAAGAAGAAGAGGAAGGAAGAAGAAAAAATAAAATAAAAAATAAAAAAAACTTCATCTTCCCCAGATTCGGAGGAAGAAGAAGAAGGAGAAGGAAGGAGAAGGAAGGAGAAGGAGGAAGGAAGAAGGTGAAGAAAAAAAAAAGTTGCAGATTCAGAGGAAGAAGAAGAAGAGGAAGAAGAAGAAGAAGAAGGAAGAAGGAAAAAAAAAAAAAAAAAACTTCATCTTCCCCAGATTCGAAGGAAGAAGGAAGAAGAAGAAGGAAGAAGGAGAAGAAGGGGAAGGAAGAAGGAAAAAAAAAATTGCAGATTCGAAAGAAGAAGAAGAAGAAGAAAATATTTTTAATTTCCACGTGGATGGCATGTGGTGCCCAGTCATTGTCCACATAGGCGCCACATCACAGTTAACGGGAGACTTAACAGTTTGACTAACGGATGTATGAGACTGTCCCAAAATTTACACTTTAGGTATGACTCTGAGACGAAAAAAACTTGATGTATTAAATGTTGAAAACCACAAAACATGAGAGTAGTAAACAGTCTTTTACCCTATATTTTAATATGTAGGGTTGTGATACTTTTTTGACATGTATAGTCTCTTGAATGTTCTAAGAGACACGTTTAACATAGCTTCATATATACTTTTTTTTGTTGAGCAAATTCGTATATACATTTTTACTATTTTTAATGAAATTCCATTCGCTAAAAAAGCGTTAGAAGGATCATCTTATTTTATACCACAATAAAATGTTACGTTCACTTTACAGTTTCATCGGTATATATCGTAAACATTATATATATGGTCCCCTTATTCTTTGATATATTATTACAAGAATTAAGGATAAGAAACCAACAGTTCAAATATTTTTTAAATGTGTATAATTTTTAGTGTTGTTGTAGCTTATTTTATATGATAAGGGGAAGGGGCCGGCGGCAAGGAGAGATTGGAGAGAGAGATGTGTTTGTAAAATTGTAGGGGAATGTGTGTGTTATTTTCTCCTACGTAATGCTTTTATTTATAGTAACAAGAGGAAGAAGAAATTCATCATCCCTAAGGAATACAAGTTAATATAAGAAAGAATAACTAGAATCAAATCTTACATAATTACACTTAAACTCGAAAATTTACATTCTAACCCAAAAAAAAAAAAAAAAAAAAGTCCTGTAGTTCAGAGGATTAATGGGATTATTACCTGCGCGGTTTTTGTTCGAATCCCTCCTCTTCAATAATGTTTGACAAATAATATAAATAAATAAAAGCACTTAACAAAAGTAGACGTAGAATACCTATCTTGTTGAAATTTTAAAATGCATAACAGAACTTCTTGAAATTTTAACCAACAAAAATGAATACATACTACTCGAAATCTCAACCATTCACATTGTTTTCAAAGTGTGCCTATTGCCACTTAGATATGGTTCAAGCAGTACTGTTTGGGCACCAAATTAGCACGGTACTATCTTTTGTTGCTCAATGCATACCGTACTTGACCTTTACGCACTGAAAAAGTTGGAGTGGCAAATGTGCATTGTTAAGAAACAACACTACAATCAAGTTTGTCTAGCTTGTTAAGAGTGTGACTCTTATACCAAATAATTAAGGAATTTTGCATGTTCTTATAAGAGTACTTAGGCTATTCCTCATATGCCAATTGATTTTATTGAGGAACATTAACTTCCTTAACGGTATCACAGTAGTTTAACCCATGTGTTGAGCCTAACATCTCATATGTTCTCACGTCACCCAATATGTGTTATCCATGTGTTGGCTTAATTGACGCCACACGTGAGGTAGCGTGTTGATACATGAATCTCGCACCAAAGAATTAAAGGATCTTGCATGTACTTATAAGAAACTAATTACCCTATATATTATCAATTAATTTTATAGTAAGATCTCAACTTTCTATTGGTAACCTTTTTGTCTCTATTGTTAAGAATTTTATTAGCGATGGTAAAGTATAAGTAGATATAAGCCTTTTGGTGTTATCTCAATTTGTGAAGGTGAGTGGAAATTTGGGTTACTTAAGACTAAGTTAGCAATTAAAAAAAGTAAGTAGAATTATGTACAAAGAAAAAAGTAAGGGTAGCTCTATCCACAAATATTTTTTACCTTTCACACACTCTGTAATTTCATGTTCTTAAATTATTTTCAATTCATTCGATCCAATAACCTAAAATTAAAAAACAAGTGTAAAAAATAAAAATGTGTGTAAATAGTATTATCCAAAATTAACTACGTACAAAGAAATAATTGCTAAATTTCCAGTTATATGATTAAGTACGAAGAAAGAATCACGTACAGGCCACAGCTCTCTGAGTTGAACTGTTGAAGAGTGGAGAAGTACGAATTCACATGGGCGCAGGGCAGGGTGCAGATTCTCATATAAAAGACATGGCGTTGCCCAATAAATATTGGTTGAAGTTCAATTTAATGTAAAGTCTATCATTTACAACTGCCTCGGTTCAATAATTAAAAAATAAAACCACATTTTACAATCAATGCTTATTTTGTTCTTATGTACTAACCTGTAACTAGAATATGGCTCGTCTTTTTTGTTCTGAAAAAAAGTTGAAGTTTCATTATAATTAATTGACAATATGAAGAGTAACTTAACTTTTTATAAGTTTTTACATAGTTTGATCCTCACCGATATGAGACTTTATTCTCATATTATCTCTTTTTTATTTACAAATTTATTTTGGAAATATTGAAAATTATTAGTGAGTTTAATGCGATGTACTATAAGTTGGAAACTATACTTATGAACAGAATAAGATATGTAGAACCCACAAAACCACACACAAAAAACTTCAAAGTATTTTTATTGATGATACGAAAGCTAACAAACATAACGTCCTATACTTCCAAATAGGAAAAGATATCATCAATTAACAAAATACCATAAGCGTTCCTAAAACTAAAACTCTAATAAAATACTTTAATAATGATTTCAACAGTGAGTTTAATATTCATCATCGTTTTTTCTAAACAAATCTCACAAATCCAAATCAAACACCAGAATCTAATTCAGCAAAACTTTACTCTTATTGCCAGATCTACAAAGCTTTATTGTTTTGGAAACATTGACAATAATTAGTGAGTTTAATGTGATGTACGTACGATAAGTTGGAAATGATATGTATGAATAGATTGAAAATGCCTAGTAGAATCAGAAGCCACAAATTAAACCACAAAACTGAATTCAGATGATTAGACATGCACCAAGAACTATACATGCATGCATGACTCGACATTCGACAAGTCGGCAAGCTACACATGGTGCAGTGTACGTAACATAAATTGTTCTATTGTATTGAGGACTAATCGACACAATGAATTTGGTTTCCAAGTCGGTCCAACCACCATGTGCTCTCGAACTCACTACATTTATAGGAATACATATTAGAAAGTTCATCCAAATTGTGGGCTAAATTAAGATTTAGCTACTAGATCAATCAATCAAGGTATCTTATTCTTGAAAATCCTTGAGCTGTGAACTAAATAATGGAACCTAATTGTTC